CCCCAAAACCCCAAAACCCCAAAACCCCAAAACCCCTGGTGTGAAGGAGTGGATTGAATGGATTTTAGTGAGATTTAGGGGAGGGTTAGAGTAAGTTTTTGGAATCTGATCTTAGGATTGGTAAATCTGGCAGTGGAGGCTGAGAGGATGATCTCTTGTTCTCTCTTCCAGTAGCTTCGTTCATGAATGTGCTGACTTGGTCACGGAGGATTCTTAGCTCAAGGTTTTGGCTCTGAAGGGCATCTTGGTTATGCTTGAGGTCCCCGAAGATACTATTGAGGTTCCTTCTGCCAGACTTATAATGCTTCATCTTCTTATTAGAAATCTCTGTAGAATAGTTTTTGGAACCCATCTTTCCGGGTTTGCTGTATTGTGCATAATAGGTAGACAAAAGATTGCTCCTATTGTGGCTATTCTTTTCCTTCTTCATAGTAACAAATGGAGTTTCCTTATGCTTCGTGCTAATAGTTGAAGCCTTCTTTAGAAAGTTCTCAATTTGACTATCAATCATTTCTGAGTTATTCACAGATATTCCTATAAATTGGATCGATCACAATAAGAATTAATGAGCGAGTAAGAATTTTTATAGCCATTCATAGACTAACTTTGGCTAGAGAGTTAGTATCTGCAATGATAAAAACAGCTTTTGTATGATTAACAATTTCTCTGATTAGCTTACCGCAGAGGTCTTTGAATTTCTTTTCAAGGACCAAGACTTTCTTTGAAATTTCTCCATTTTGTTTTCTTAATGAATTGCATTCCTATGCATAATAACCATTATCTTACATAGATAAGCTCCAGGTTATCATTTTGGATCTTATTTACGTTCATTCTCTAACTTTTTATTGGATTTGCTCATATTTTTAAGCTGACTATCAAGCCAGTTCCTCTGCCTAACCAGTTCTTCCTTTACAATATCCTCATCACTATCTTCTGAATCATCTCTGTTTCGACTGATGACTCCTTTTGTGAGGTTTGTACCAATTCCAGAGACATTAAAGTGCTTGTTATATTTCTGAACAACTTCCGAAATCTCCTTTGGATTCATTGATTTCAATGCATTCTGAAGGTCATACTGCATCATCTGGATCTTTCTCTTGGTAAACGTGACTAGGTCTACCTTAGCGCGCACTAAAGTTGTAATAAATTGGAACTTACATGTTTCTTTTCTCATTTTCTCGTATTGCTTATTTACTCTCCTCTAGCTTTATGCCTAAGTTCTTATTCTTCGTGGTCTCTTCAGCAAGCTCATTGTAGATACTTCTAATATGTCCCTCAAGAATTTTGACTTGCTCTTCCATTGGAGCTTTCTCATTTTTGAGAGAATTTATCTTACTATTGAGCACAAATTTAAAGTTCTCAAGATGCTCACTATAATTCTTAAGCTCCTTGATAACCTTCTCTTTATTCTTAATAACAGATTGCTTATCTTTCAGTTGATCTTTAGCATTATTGAGCTCTTCTTCCTGAATATTCTTAGTTTCCTTCAGATTGTTCTGTTCTTGCTCGTACTTCTTCCTATTGATCTCGCATTCTCTAATTCTTTTCTCTAATTTGTCAGCTTCACGCTTATTTTCATCTCTAGTGTCCTTGAGCTCATCTGTTTCTTCAGTGAGCATCTTCATGAATTCATCAAATTCTCGCTTTTTCTTCTGGATTTCTTTCTCATAATCTTCTTCACATTGGTCAAGAGCAATGTTGAATTTTTCGCCATCACGCCTAGGGATTTGAGTGCAAGAAACTTACTTTTTGTCATTGATCAAGCGGATGTGGTTCTTTTGGAGTTCTTCATATTTTTCTTTGTATTCCTTCTCTATATGTTTGAGAGCTTTCTGATTTTCTTGTTGAATAACATCAAGCCTTCTCTTATATTCAATAGTGATTCTTTCGTATTCCTCAACTAGTTTGTCACGTTGCTCATAAGCAATCTTGAGCTTATTGTCATAATCAAGATTGAGTTGGTTGGTTTGGTCCTTATGGTTTTTCTGAGCTTCAGCAATTTGTGCAATGAGGGCCTCTCGTTCTTCCATATGCTTCGCCTCTATCTTCTCCTTCTCAAAGTTGTTTACTTCTTCAGCTACAGGATTAAGGGAGATTTACCGTTCAAGCTGTTGATCTCTTCTGCATATTTGTTAGCAACAGCGTTTCTTTCTTCTTGGTAGTACGCCTTCAAATTTTCGGCTTTATATTTCAGTTCCTGAATTTGATGAGATTTCTGCTCCAATGCTGATTTAAACACCAATGAGAGGTTGTTCATGTGCAGGTGCACTTTACACTTTTGAGCTTGATAATACTGCCTCTTTTGTAGAGGATGCGCATCTTGAATGTTAGCAATGTTTGATTCAAAATCAACCCCATTTGTGTACTCTAAAGTTTTAAAATGAGTATCTTACGATAAATTTTATTGAAGAAGATACTACCGTCTTCTGAGCTTGAGATTAAAAATTTATGATCATGTGATATTTCTAAGGATGTGATCCTTGAAGCATGGATGTGAAACTCAGCTCACTCAGGTAATTCTCCATCTTCACCATTCTCAAGCATTATTGGCCACAAAAACACTTTTATTGAACCAAAAGCTGTTCCAGTAAAAAGAACTTGAAGGTTTTTGGCGAGTCATAGACTTGTGATTTCCTCTTCGTTTTCTAAAATATTAGCCAAGGAAAATTATCTTACCAACTGTTAAATACGATTTGCATCCAAATTTAGTGCTCATGATATTCATCTTACAATCTGATGTACAATATCAAGCTAAATCATATTCCTCATCATAGACATAGGAATTAAGGGTTGTATGTTTGATGTTGAACTCTAAGAGCTCAGGTTCACCTCTCTCATTTTTCATTCCTCTATTTTTGTACATCTCAAAATCAGAACACCAGCCATAGGAAGTTCCATGATGACAATTACTCAGAAGATGAGAATCGCTCTCAGTCCATTTTAGGTACCTCACAGAACTTGGATGTCCTACCAACGTGAACTGGGACTGGAAGGTATAAGGATCAATGATCGTTATATTATTGCCATTTCCAGCTGCCAAGAAGTGTCCTCCGTTAGAATATCTAAGAAATTTTCAGACTTTTCCATGTATTTCAACTGCCAGTTTGATACCGTCCTCAATAAGGTAGAATATTTTGACTCCTTCTCTTGTCCCGACAGCTACTTGAAATCCCATCGGATGCATAGAAACACTGTGTAGAACTTCTTTACTATAATAACAGCATAGTTGCCTGTAATTTGTATCCAAAGTGTCAATGGGAATAATTGGAGATGATATTTTATTATTCTCAACACTGTATTCAAATATTCTGAGGTACTTGTCAGCACCAACAGACGATACCAAGTTCTTTGACACAGATACCGAGATATCCAGGATTGCCCCAAGAGGATTACCATTTTTGAAAATTGGCTTAAAGTTAGGATCCTTTAGTGAATAAGCATCTGAGAGGCAGAATTGGTAAAGTTCTGTTCTACATCTCTTTACTTTATTCTCCTCATCAACTATCTTCATTTCTGCAAGCTGATCTTCAATGTTTTGATCTAGCACCTTTGCTGAGAGAACAAGATAACTTCTATCAAATGAAATGCTAATAGAGTTTATTCCAAGACATTTCAAAGAGAGTCAGAATGACTGGATTAAAGAAACTTCATTATCCTTGTTTTTAGTATAAATATTGAAGAAGCCAAAGTTTGTCTGGTTAGCAACAACAAATCCCTTTTTATGAGTTTCAACTATAAGGTCCATCGGTTTGTCCTTGTACTCGTTAAATAATGATCTCTGCATTTCCATTTCTGCCTCAACTTCTTTATTGGCCTTCTCACTGTCAATTTCAAGAATATCCACTTGGGTGGTGAGCTCAGCTGCGAGGTTAGGACTTTGCTCATAACGAATAAAGACAACACTTTTGCCTTCAATGATGAAGATATTCCTTTGTGCAGACACTAAGACAAAAGAATGAGAATCTGGGAAGAACTTAATATCTGTGAAATCGTTATCTTTTTCATATTTTTGAGGAATTATTGTTTCTTTTAGCTCTTTGACGGCCTTCTCGCCAGCTGTATAATTCCTGACATACTCATTTCCAATGGCAACAAAGATGTGATGACTAAAAGGATTCACTGCAATCTTCTTAACTTTAGGATCAATTTCTCCCTTTCTGTGAATATTTTGTCTTTCATGCTTAAAGAAAGTTACAAATGGGGCTTGGCCTGGTGTATCAACTAGAGTGACACAATATCTACTGAAGTCAGGAATGATAACTTGTTTAATTTTAGAATCCTCATTCAAACCAGGAATTCCACTGTGCTCACAGTAGATCCACTTCTGACGTTCTCATCAGAATATTGACACATTGAGGAGTACATTATCTTCGGTGATTATTTTATCTCCAACTCCAATTAGAACTTCTCTTTTCTTTGAAATACCTGAAGTGATGACCTGTATCTCTCCCATTTTATTTTTCTGTCTTATCACAAAATCAGTTTTATTTGCTCAAAATATCGCATTTAGCCAGATGATCTCCTGATGGGAAAATAATATTATTTTCGTTCTCGCTGATAAACATGCCGTTCTTCTCAATATTCAAACTGAGGCATCCGAAGGAATTGTCAATCTTCAAGTCTACTCCATTAAGAATCCTGCCAGCGTCAGGATCGTTCTCGTCAATAAACATCTTCCTGTATTTTACCTTATATCCATTAAAATTCTGTATAATCGGGAATTTCAGCTTTGTTAGCATTTTTATTTAGCTATATCATAAATAATTTTAATATCGAGTCATGTTTATTTATACAAAATTATATCCAATCAGTTATTCATTTTGCTAAATACCTTCCTAAAACTCTGTCACATGGACAGTTTAAAAAGTACTACCCAGTTCAAACAACTAATTTCAAATGACTTATCCACCCCAAAAACCGACTCAATTTTCCCTCTATAGTCCATTAAAATACCTCTCAACTCCCTAAACCTCCAAAAATCAGTATCACTAAGCCATCCTCTTCTCTGTGGCAACCTTACCTTCTTCTCTCCTCCCTTATCCAAACCATCCCCGTTCATTTCCTTATTATTGGGTACTAACTTCATCGCATCTATTCTCGGTTAAACAACCTAAGCGTACTCTTAATAGGAGGGCTCTTAGCGACTTCTTGTGCGGTCTCACTTAAGTCTGATTGCTTATCACTGCCTGTAGGAGTAAAGAGAAGGAGTACCTTTGTCCATGATTGATGGGATTTAAATTTATTTTATGTTATGAAAGATTGGGGTTTTGGGGTTTTGGGGTTTTGGGGTTTTGGGGTTTTGGGGTTTTGGGGTTTTGGGG